TTGCCAACACTGCAGCGCAACCCAAGCGCAATCGCCTGTATATGTGAGTGTGTGTAATTGTCTGTAATTGTGATAATTTATACTTTTGAATTGTACATAGGAAATTTATTTCTTCATAAATTGCCCACTTTTGCAATGGGGAAAATATTATACTACTTTAACGCAATATGTGTACATAGACATATTTTAAAGTATACATATACATATATATATATACACAAAATTATTATCTTTTTTACTTAAGTGATATTTCAGATAAATTACGTGTATTAGAAGAGTGGTCGTTATCATCGGCCAAACGTGCTGGTTGCCTTTTGGTGGGATATGAGGCCTTTCGGACTCTTGTGTTTTATCATAAATATAAAAATCGAGGAAATTTGAGTTCTACCAAATTGGAGAGTATTCGAGAAAAAGTAAACAACTATTTACTGCAACCTGGTAACATAAATTGAAATATCACAATTTAAAAAAAAAAAACAGTTAATACAGATAATTTTAGGTGCAGATCTTGTCGTTTGTGATGAAGGTCATATAATAAAAAACAGCAAGTCCGCTATAAGTCTAGCTGTTGCAAAAATTATAACCCCAAAAAGAATTATTTTAACCGGGACTCCAATTCAAAATAATTTGAAAGAATGTTTGTATAGCGTTTGACAGCAGTTAATGTAATAAATCTATTAAACCATGTTTGTTTTCTGTTCCAGATTACAGTATGGTTAACTTTATAAAGCCACTATACCTCGGCACAGAAAAGGAATTTGCTAATTTGTATGCTAATCCAATCAAGAATGGTCAGCATAAAGATTCAAGTAAAAAGGATATTACAGTTATGAAGCAAAGATCGTACGTGTTGCACAAAAAGCTATCCAAATTTGTACAGGTACTCAGTGTTTTTATAATCCCAAAGTGGTAAACCGTAAATAATTGTTATTTTTTTTTTTTTATGATAGAGAAAGGAAGCTGAACTGCTAAAGACATTTTTACCACAAAAATTTGAATATGTCCTTTTTATACCAATGACTGCGGTTCAAGTATGTTAAATATAAACAGTTTAAGAAACTTAAAAAATATAATTATTTTAATATAAGCTATATATAATTGCAAATGTATGATTTTTTAATGCTTTAAAGTTTCCTCTTAAACATCTTTATATTATAGAATACTCTATATGAATTTATTTTGGACGCTATAGCCAGCCGTGGTGATAGTCGAGGAAAAAGTCTTATCACAGATTACACTGTTTTAAGGAAGGTAATCTCATTGGTGTTTTTTTTTTTATGAATATAAACTAATCAATTTGTTGTATTTTTAAGATTTGGACACATCCCAAGGTTCTCGAAGACGCGTGGAAGAATGCTAACGCTGTAAGTAGTATATCGCAATCAACAATATCGAATGGATTTAGAGTTCGTTTTTAGCAGAAAAATAAAAAAGATAACAAAAAGCATGGATGTCCACATTCTGACGACGATCAACCAGATGATATTTACGATAGTCAAACTGGTGTGATTTCCGTGACTAATGATTGGTGGCGCAAATATCTTTCAAAAAAAGATCTGGAGACCATTATGCCAAGCAATAAACTTCGAACAATGTTTTCAATTCTTCGCATGTGCGAAGAAAAAGGAGAGAAATGGTACGTTGTCAAATAATAAACAAGTACGAAATAAATTAATCGGGGTATCCACAGTCGAATTCATTACCCGAACATATTCGCCGAGCTCGCCTAATAACTATGCGAACATTTTCTTGAATATTTTCACAAACATATTCGCGAGCATTATTTTAAAACAAAATTTTGGATTGTGAACATGTCAGTGGAAGAAAAGAAAATCGTGACCTTAATGGCAATACATCTTTATTTAAAACAAAAGAAATCACCTGACTTTTCGGTTCTTTTTTTATACCCTGAACCCATTGAAAATGGGAAATCAGGGTATAATGGTT